TGAAAATGGCGGAGCTGCGCGCAGCCGTTTTTCAGATATTTGCGAAAAACCTGAGGGGGAGCGCGGTAACGCCCCCTAGCACGGCGCGGGCTTTTAGCTCCCGATTTTGACGGTTTGGCGCCCCCTTTGTATGGAGCGCCCCCGGATTGCCAGGTCGCCCCTATTTCGACTTGCCGCCCCCCCTCCCGAAAATTCCTGGATCCGCCCCTGCTATAGAGTACCTACCGGAACGCATAGGCCGTTTAACAGTAGGTGATTTCTTTTGTTTGTCAACCTATCGAGTTCTACGGACCAAGCATGAATAGCGAAATCAGTGCACGTGTCAAAGTCCTTTTGTATAAGGCGGCCGTCTGTTCCAGTTAGTAGGAAGGCAATGCCGACAGCACGAACGCAAACCGCAGTGTCTGAAGCTGAGCGCAGTGCAGTCATGCAAATAAATTCATTGTGGCGATAGCCGGCACGAAATCCATTCGTGCGCGGCGCACCTGCGATATCGCGGCATTTCTGCCGCATTTTTTATGTAGTGTTCAGACGACTGCTAGTGTAAGCCGACTCCGAGCTGATAACTGCCAGCGGAAAGCCGGAAAGCCTCACGAAGGTCCATCAAAATGATGCTACTTGCAGGATATTACTTCGATTTATCTCATTATTAGTGGGGATTGCATACTGATTGCTCCTAACCAGACATTTCAGGAATTATTACTTTGCTTTATAAGTAACGCTTAGAAACTCTCTGTATACGAACACGTAGGGCGCACCTTATACCTACCATTCGTATTCGTATCTCGGCATTCGTGTTCGACAGTCAAACCCAATGCTTATTGCACAGTGCAATATGAACTGGGCTCACCCCGACCCTTGGATGCATTCTAATTCATTGGTGAAGCCAGGGGAGGGGGCTTGGAGCAAATGCCCCGCCCCTCCCTCCCCCCCTCAGCGCCTGAAATCGACGAAAATTTGTCTTTTTCAAGAATAAGACGAAAACTAAGCAACGCAACTTATATGAAGAAAAGTTTGTTTTAACAGGCGCAGTGGAAAGGTTCCGAGCACTACGCCCACAGTGGAGGGGCGGGGGGGGGTGGCGAATGTCGCCCCTCCCGGGCTCCACCTACGATCTCAGCTCCTATGGAAGCCAAAAAGACGAAATTTGAAGGGTGGGTGAAGGCGGTGGGAAACTCTATTGTGTGGTAATTTCATGAAGCTAGGTTAATATCTTCAAGGTCAAAGGAGGTCAAAAGTGGTAAAAATTTTCCAGATCAGGGTACATTTGGTGTTTGTGTGAAACCTAAAAAAGTTGCCACATAACGTAACCGTTCGATTTTCTTTGTTGTTTCATCATACGACATCATATACATTTTTGAGTTCATATTAACCCGCGCCGGGCCGGTGCTCTGAAATTCCGCGCCGGGCCGGGGGGGGGGTGTCTGAACACCCCCCTTCTAACTCGGCTCCTCTGCCACGTAGCGACACGCTGTAAGCGGCAATCGAAAGAACGTCCAAAATAAGGACGAAAACACTTCGGTCATTTTTTGGGTCAGGTCAAAGGTCAGGTCACCAGAGGTCACCAAAGGTCAAATGTCCACTATTTCAACATTTTGGAAACTGCCAACGGCTATCTCGGGAACCGATAGAGCTACAGCGCCGCGGAAATGCGCATTCGATAGCCCTTTAACCTTCGCCCCAGTGGGGGGGGGGGCATATGTTACCACCCTGTCGCGTTTTTTGCGTGTGAATAAAAAACCGCGGCGCGTAGCGCCGCGCCGCTTGGGGTAGCTTTTCGTACATCAATTTTGGACAGTGTGTGAAATTTTTGACCCCAGGTCATGTCAGGTCAGGTCACCAGGTCAAGTTAACTGACCAAGCCTAAAAAAAAGTTTGCAATCATGTCCAGCCTGTAGTGTTTGTCAGAAAGATTTCAAACTTGGTGGATTGCATGCGTTATGGGCCCCTACAATTTGTATATCTCGGATTTTTTATATCCGTGACCTAAGGTCAGGTCAGTGGCGAAACCTTTCCATTACAAGTCAATGGAGAAAAATGAAAATGCCTCTAGATCCGTGTGTACGCATCGGAACAGTCCAAATATTTCAGAATCACAATGATTTAGTCCACTCGTGATGACCAAGGTGTCATTTTTGCTGATAGCCTCTAGACAGGTCATCCGAGGTCACTTAAGGCTACAAACAGTTTTTTGCCAATAACTCGCGATTGGAAAGAGATAGAACGCTGGGGATGGTCTCATTGTGTTTGCCTTGTTGAGACGCATCGACTGATATGCAACATGACCTTTTCCGGTAAGGTCATGACCTTGACCTGAGGTCAAATTTTCAACTTGACCTTTCAAGGTCAAATTATAGTTCATTCGACGCGTCTCGGCGAGAGGAACACGATTCTGGCAATAGAAATGTCGTGGCTTTTTGTAGTCGAAAGTTATTGTCGAAAAACACTTTTCGTAAAAAGAGCTATTTTTGGACTTTTTGCCCTCTGGAGGCCAAACCGTTGACCTGAGGTCAATATTGATTATGACCTTTTCAAAAGAAGAGTTCAAAAGCTATCGATTGCTCTTCCCTGCGTTATTCTAGCTACCATAGTTCCTGAGATAGCGGCATGTTTTCTGAAAAATATAATGACAATGGGCAAATTTTGACCTTTGATGACCTCTGGTGACCCCAATATTGCTCTAAGGTGAAAAATGACCGAAATACTTTCAAACGTACGCATTGAGAGCTATCGACTGCTTTTTACCGCGTCTTTCTAGCCCTCTTAGTTTTTGAGTTAGAGGTGGGTGGTAACATATGCCCCCCCCCCCTCACTAGGGCGAAGTTGGCTGAGACCGCCACTGGGGCGCGGGTTAACAGAACTTTCTGAGTAATGTTCTCAGATCTGACCTCAGGTCAACGGTTTAGCCTCCAGAGGGCAAAAACTCCAAAAATAGCCGTTTTTACGAAAAACGTTTTTTTCGGCAATAACTTTTAACTCAAAAGAGCCACGACATTAATTTTGCCACCATCGTGTTCCTCTCGTCGAGACGCGTCGAATGAACTATAAGTTGTTCTTGAAACGTCAACTTGAAAATTTGACCTCAGGTCAAGGTCATGACCTGACCGGAAAAGGTCATGTTGCATATCAGTCGATCCGCAACGTCGAGCCGAACACATCTAAGGCGTTTTCAGCGCTCTAGCACGTCTCTATCAGAAGTTATTAGCGAAAAACTGTTAGATTCTGTTCGTGACCTGAGATGACCTCGGGGACATAACGAGGGGTCACAGTTGCCATTTTCCGGTTCAATGTGTCCATTTTGCCTACATCTCGATGTTTGAGAGTGTCTAGAATAGCGTTCGTGCAAAACAGACGTTTTTCAATTTTCTCCCATTGACTTATAATGGAGAGGTCGCAAAATTGACCTGACCTTAGGTCACCGATATCAAAATTCCGAGATAAACATTTGATACATAATGTTGCTCTAATCAATCGCTGAAAGTTTCAAGGCAATCGATCAATCGGTGTAGCTATGACGAGCATTCTTATTTTTGCTGAGGTGAGGTCACTTGGCGTGACCTGGTGACCTGACCTAAGGTGACCTGGGTCTGAAATTTTCACATGTGCGGAAAAGATGCACGAACAGGTGTGCCAAAAACGGCGGCGCTCCGCGCCGCCGTTTTTGAGATATCTGCGAAAAACCGCAGGGGGGGGTGTTCAAACACCCCCCCCCCCCGGCCAGGCGCGGGTTAAGAATCTCTACATCCAGTCGTAAGCCAGTCATAATACTAGCAAATAGAGCTATAGGTAGGTACCTGATAAGAAAAATGTCTCCCGGTTGAGGCGACTAACAGCCGACGCAGCTGAAGCGTTTTAGCCACAATTTAGTGTTTACACACTCGTAACTCAAAATGTTTCCGGCTTATTTTCTTGTTTCTTTCACAATAATCTAAGATTACCTGTACATTTCTGAGTCTTCACAGAGATCTTGACGCGAATCGATCGTATCGTAAGCAGCGGTAAGAAGCGCAGTGCCCGCAAAGACGGAACCGTCCGGCGGGGCAAAGTGCGGCGGCGAGAATCGGCCGGCGCCGGCCGTCGCGCCGCCGCCGCTCCGGCGGGATTTTTGACTTCACACACCTGTTTCTAAAAACGTTGTGGGCCGATCTACTTATTGCTTTCACGGCGAGATCCGCAATTCAACTTTAGGCAGGCAATGAGAATTTAACGTTAATGAAATGATAACGGCGTGACTTGCTTATTTCACACTTGCGAAAAACAGGAGAAGGGGCGGGGGGTGGAATTCGGCCCTTTCACTGCAAGTGTTAAACTGCACAGCAGTGCGTAAGAAGTCGAAATTTGATGGGTTTTGGAGTTTGGAGAAACTTTTTTTTTTTGGAAGTATGTCCCCGCAGCGTCCCAGACCAAGACGGCGCCTTTTTGGACCCGACAGATGTCCAATCCAATCCAAAGAAAAGTGTAATATCCAAACTACTCCGACAGCTCTTATGAACTAGATTCCAGCCAGCTGGTCCTTTGTAGTTGTCCTGTGGTCCTGTGTAGCCTCTGTAGTCGTCGACCCAGTCACACGAGTGCCGGCAAGGTTACTTTACTGGTAGCCTGCCCGAGCCCGTGCTGGTGGTGCCGCGCCGGTGCAGATATTGCAGTAGTTGGCGTATCTGCTGATCAAGCTGGGGTATTAGTTGATGATGAGATGATGAGATATTGGTTTAAAATTCAAGCTAGGTTATCAGTTGAACATGAAATAAAAATTCAAAAGGCATTAGGCAGAATATCTACCTTTGAATTCACATTTCCTTCAAATCTATACGGTTAAACACATTGCCATGATATGTAATGTTACGTCATTTGGTATAGTAGTTGCTTCTCTTAAGCCATTTGGGCTAATTTTGAAACAGATGCGCAGGATATGCCTGTTCTAATTTTTATAAATGTTTCGTTGCGAGCAGCAATTGCTGTTATTGGTCTGACTTGTTTGGTTGACTTCTTCCTTCAGCAGGTGATGATCAAAATAATAAAACAAAATTTAGCAGAAATCATTTCATTGCCTGGGAGGATGTGTGTCCTCGTCGAAAAAGAAATGGGAAAGGAAGTCGTGCGACTGTTTCTCCGGTAATTATTGCATTTGTTTTCCGAGATAAACGAATATTCCATGTTTTTCAGATCTGCTGATTGCATTTTAGTCCCTCGATCTTTGTTGTTTTATTCCTGATGTATCAACTTAAGATCTAAAGGGAGTAGGGACCCTCCCTCCTTCAAAAAAGTTAATGAATAGGCATACAAGTGATGTACAATGGCTCAGAAAGAGCAAAAATGATTGATCATTAGCAAATTTCAACAAAAACATTCACTGGTTTTGAGATATTAGACTTTTATTTTTGTTTGGTATTGGCATTGGGGGCTTATGCTGTTCCTATGGCGTCATTTGGACGCAATAGTTTGGTATCATAAAAGCATGGCAGATTTTGCGCGCAAAGCAGTATATAGGTAGGTGCCGCCACATGCACCACAGCAACTGTTTTCTTCTAGTGTTATGTTAAAAAATCGCTAGACTTGCACTTATGTCACAAATTATAAGGGGCATTCAAATGCATTAGCCCCTTGGAATCTGAAAACTGCAATTTTGAAATTCAATGTCTCAATTTAAGCATTTCTTGATGTTGTGAATGCCCAAACCGTAAATAGCAGGCCAGGGACTGAGGGACCCCAATTTGGCAATCTCGCCTAAAAACTAATGTTAAGGTGGGAAGGTCACTATAAAGTATAAGCTGATGACAAAGAAGAGCACTGGGATTGCAATTGAGGCAAACAGAGGCATTTGTTTGCCGAAAGGAGAAGAATGTTTCACTACGAAATTTAACAAACTGATCGGTACTTCCATGCCCCATACAAACTTCCAATGCATTATGGACAGTGTTTGCATTGCTCCTGTTGTATCCATGCTATTGCTTTCCCTACTTTTAGTTTTCTTTCCTCTGCTTGGATCAAAACTGAAAATATTATAAGTGTCTATCTTCTTCTAAGTAGTTTCACCTCTTCTGTTCTGTTTCGTTCAGTTTATTCACCAACAGGTTCAGTCAAAACATGTATGACTTACCTACTGAACTGACCCTCATTTGATTTCAGAGAGCTCAAACAGGCACGACAGCATGATTGCTACTGAGGTCTGAGAGCTCTATGGGCCCACAGTATCATTTCTATGATCGTGGATCTGGGTCTGCAAATCCAGCTGCAGTGTTCTAAATTGGTGCTCTTTTGATTTCAAGTTCTTCAGAGTTCAGAAAGACAGCCATGGCAGTTGCAAATGACCCTTATGTTGGAGCATGGAAGGTATGTCAAGTTAACAGTGTTATCTATTCTTGACTGTTAGCTATAAGTGCTTAAAGGAATTGTGAAGTTATATCTTGATTGGTGGTGTATAAAAAACTGCAGCATGGAGTTTGGATTCTTAGAAAACTACAGTGCAGCTCAATTGTTATGTCAGCATTTTTGGAGGCCTTTTGATTTACAGGCTCAGTGCATGTCAAACTGCTGATTTTTTTGCATCAAACTCAGGTTGTCAAAAAGCTGATAACGATACCAGTTATGTACCTAACTTAAAAGTGAAATTTCAGTAAATCCTGGTGCAATATTGTCAACCACACTGTTTAATGCAGGGATCATCTTGATTGCCCTGATCATTCCCTGTTCAGCACTAACTTGTTTATACTGTGTTGCCAGATTGTGGAGGTGATCTCGCTGTGTGGCTCCGGCTGCCAGTCAGTCCTGGAGGGAACAGAGATGAAGCTGGATGAGAGCGGGGATGTCACATGGATCCTGCCAGAAGGTAATTGTATCGTTCTCGGGCTCTCAGTACCGAGAAAGAGGCGTGGACTTCAACAGCGAATTCTATTATCTCAGAGCATTCAGCATAGCGGGGAGATCGAGAGAAAAACAAAGATTCGAGCGGGAACCAAACGTTACACTTTTGGCGCATCTGTGACAGGCAAGTAACCACACACTAAAACACTGCCATATTACGTGCATCACGTAACATCCCTCTCCTTTAAGTTTGAACCACTACAGGTTCAGCTTGAGAGGAGGACGGACACGTCGCCCAGACCTGGTGCAGTTGGAGGCGACAGCGCTCTCTCCAACTGGCTCGGAATGCGCGGCCGGTTGCTCGCTCGTGGTGGCTCGGGTCGGAGTAGGCTGATGTTCCGCCCCGTTCCTTGTTGCTGCCTGGGCTGTCGTGTGGCGCTGCTGTGGCGTCGTCGGCTGCGTAGCTCGTAGGAACTGACGGTTTCGACGGTAGATGACACCGTCTTCACTTTCTACTTCATAGCTCCTCGGCTTGAGCATGCTAGTCACGACGGCCTTCTTCCACGAGTTTCTGCCGTCGATTGGCTGCATTCGGACCGGTTCCCCCACTTGTAGGGGTCGCAGTTCTCGCCTGCCGGTGTGCCTGTCGTTTGCGGCAGCTTTCCTGGCTTCCAGTCGCTGTTTCTGGTTGATATTCTGCTTGGGCTGGAGAAGTGCTTTAGACGTTGGCACTCCTGTCCTTGTCCGTCGGCTCATCAGACGCTGTGCCGGGCTCGTATCCATCCCTTCTTGTGGGGTATTCCTGAGGTTCAGGAGACCCAGGTACGGGTCCTCTCCTGCGGCTCTGCTCCTCTTCATCATTCGCTTGACTGTCTTGACAGCGGCTTCAGCAGCTCCATTCCCTTTACTGTTGCCCGGACTTGACGTCTGGTGTTCGAATTGCCAGGCCTTGGCGAACTGCGCGAAGTGATAACTGGAGAATTGCGGGCCGTTGTCGCTTACCAGCACATCTGGTATGCCATGACGAGCAAACTGTGCCTTCAGTTTGGTGACCACCGCCTGTGAGGTTGTTTCTTTCAGGTAGTCTACCTCGACAAAGTGACTGAAGTAGTCTACAGTGACGAGGTAGTCACGGCCTTCAATAGTGAAGAGGTCAGTCCCGACCTTTTCCCATGGTCGGTCAGGCACTTCGTGGGCGTACACAGGCTCAGGCCCCTGCTTCATGGGAGTTTCGGCGCAGGTGTCGCATGACGCGAGGTACTCCCGGATGTCACTTGACATGCCTGGCCAGAAGATCAGATCTCGTGCTCTTCTCAGGCAGGAGTTTATGCCAGAGTGACCCGCATGGAGCTTGAGGAGCATTTCCTTCCTCATCGTCTTCGGGATGATCACCCTGTCTCCTCTTACAACGATACCGTCGTGCACTGACAGCTCGTCTCGATAGTTGTAGAATGGCTTTACACTATCCAGAAGACATGTTTTCTCAGACGGCCATCCAGCTCCGATGGTTTTCGTTAGCTCTTGTAGAGTTTGGTCCTGCTCGGTTGCCTTTCGGATGTCGTCCAAACGCTCTCGCCTGAAGGGCGCTGCATACACAGCGTGCACTTCTGCGTCCTCTCCTTCGTGCATTTCTGGCGGTGGCGCGCGAGACATAGCGTCGGCCGCAGGGATCGTAGATCCCGGCTTGAACACTAGGGAGTAGTTGTACTTCTGAGTGTTCAGTAGCATGTTCTGCAGTCTTCTTGGGGCCTTGGATAGCGGCTTTTTCTTGATGCTGTCCAGTGGCTTGTGGTCGGTGACCACAGTGACGTGGCGACCGTAGGTGAAGTGGTGGAACTTCTCCAGGCCGTACTTCACTGCCAGCATCTCCTTCTCGATCTGGGCGTAGTTCCGCTCAGCAGGAGTCAGAGAGCGACTAGCGAACGCCACTGGTCTGCCATCTTGCATCATAACGGCTCCTAGCCCGTACTCGGACGCGTCGTTCTCCAGGACGAGATCCTTCTGGGGGTCGTAGAATGCCAGCTTGACGTCAGCCTCAATCATTTTCTTCACGTCCTGGAACGCCTTCTTTTGGTTCTCGCTCCAGGTCCACGGCACGTCCTTCCTCAACAGGTTCTGGAGGGGGTGGATCACCTCGGTCACATGAGGCAGGTAACGAGCCAGGTAGTTTGTCATCCCCAGGAATCTCCGGAGCTCTGTGACGTTTTCTGGGACAGGATAGGTAGTGATGGCCTTCACCTTTTCCGGATCTGACTGGAGGCCTTCTTCGGAGATCAGGTGCCCCATGAACACCATGGACTTCTCTCGGAGCTTGCTCTTCTCCTTGTTGAGCTTGATTTTCTTCTCTCGACACCTCTCCAGGAACTTGCTCAGCCTGTCGTCGTGCTCCTTCATGTTGCGTCCGTGGATGATGACGTCATCTGCTACGCACAGTACACCTTCAAGTCCTTCCAGAGCCTGTTGGAGCTTCTTTTGGAAGATTTCGGCAGACACAGAGAGACCGAAGGGTAGGCGGAGCCATCTGTACCTGCCGTAGCAGGTCTGGAACGTGGTCAGCATGCTGGACTCCTTGTCCAGGCACACATGCCAATATCCTGACTTCAGGTCCATCTTTGTGAAGACTCGAGACTGGCCCAACTCGTGGAGTGTGTCGTCTAGGATCGGCAGCGTCGTGTGTTCTCGCTGCAGGGCTTTGTTCAGCTCCTGTGGGTCAATGCAGACTCTTAGGCTCCCATCCTTCTTGTGAGTGATTGCCATCTGGCTTACCCATGGGGTTGGTTCTTCGACCTTCGCCAGCACTTCCTGCTTCTCCATCAGGTCCAGTTCTTCTTTCAGCTTGGGCCGCACCGAGATGGGGACCCGCCTCGTGGGCATTATCACAGGCTTTGCCTCCTCACTGACCTTGAGATGGTGCTCGCCTTCCAGCTTCCCCAGTCCTCCATCCATGACATCTTTGTAGTTGTCTTCCACATTGAGGTTGTGTACTTCTACAAAGTTATCTGTCTGGACATTGATCAGTTTCATCTGCTGACTAGCTCGGAGTCCTAGCAGGGGAGTCAGGTTTCCTTCATACACTAGGAACTCTACTGAGTACAGACGGCCATTTCGGGGGTTCCTCACCGTCCTGCGGCACGTACCTTCAGGTTTGAAGTCGCCCTGGTTCCAGGTGCGGATTATCTTGTTTGTTGGTGTCAGCTCTGTGGCATACCTTTTAGGCAGCAGGTTGACACTGGATCCAGTGTCCACCTGGAAGTGTACTTCTTCATCATCCAGTAGCATGGCACACTTCACTTCCTTCTTCTGATCCGATACTGCCAGGACGTTGACCCACTCAGGCTCTTCATCGTCTTGGACATGATGCACTCTCTGTCTGTGCTGCGGAGTGAAGCATTGTGAGGCAGAGTGGTTTTTGAGGCCACATTTCTTACATGTTTTTCCATATGCTGGGCAAAGTTCCTTCTTCATTTTGTGACTTTCGCCACAGAACTTGCAGGTCCTCACGTCTCCTGGATGCCTCATCTGTTTCTTCTTCTGGTTGATACCTTTCCTTTTTTCAGTAGTCACTTTGTGAATCTGCTCATTTGGCCGCATGGCTCGGTTTTGGGCCAAAGCACTCTCTGAAGCTTTGCAGATGTCTATACACTGCTCTAGAGTGAGATCACGACACTTCAGCAGTTCAGTCTGAACCTTTGAGTCGTTAACACCCAGGACGATTCTGTCCATGATCATTGCAGGCAGACAGTCATTGCAGAACCCACAAGTCTTTACCAGGTCTCTCAGATCAGATATAAAAGCATCTACTGGCTCACCTTCTGCTTGCTTTCTACTGTTGAAGATAAACCTCTCATAGGTTTGGTTCACTTCCCCGACGCAGAACTTTTCCATCTTCTCCATGATCTCTGCTGCAGTACGCTCCTCTTCAGGGGTGTCAAACTGAAACCCATTGTACACTTTGAGGGCGTCGTCAGCCAGCAGGTTGAGGAGGAGTGCAACCTGTACTCTTCTTTCGAGATTCTCAAAGCCAGAAAGAATGGTGTACGATGACCATCTTTGAGAGAACAGCTTCCAATTTTCAGCAGCATTTCCCCCCACTGAGAATGGCTGGGGTGGTCGGATGCCAGGAATGGCCACAGTGTGGTTATTTCCTTCATTAGACATGTTGTCTTGGCTTGTACCTACTGCTTGGTGTGCGCCGAGATTGCCTCAAAATCTTGAAAATCTTGAGAGTACCTTGTGCGTTTCTCCAGGTGGAAAGATTATCTCAAAACACATTCAAGACAGTGTTTAAAGAACCACATACGCTACTAAGGTCTCACAGCTGCCACCATGTATCGTTCTCGGGCTCTCAGTACCGAGAAAGAGGCGTGGACTTCAACAGCGAATTCTATTATCTCAGAGCATTCAGCATAGCGGGGAGATCGAGAGAAAAACAAAGATTCGAGCGGGAACCAAACGTTACACTTTTGGCGCATCTGTGACAGGCAAGTAACCACACACTAAAACACTGCCATATTACGTGCATCACGTAACAGTAATTGTGACTGGTTTGTGGTCTGCAGCTGTGTCAGTGAACCAATGTTAAACAACTTAATTTTCTATATCTCCTGACTACCTACTAGTGAATGATTGAGGGCAGCCCAAACTTCTGCATTTACTTCCATTTTCCTCTTTTTTATTGGGATTTTTGGGCATGCCACCTCAATTGGTCATTTTTACGCTTTCTACCAAGTGAGACTGCCCCAACTGTTATCCACATCCAATGTCTTCAGACAAACACTTTTCAGTCAGCTTGCAACCATCCATCAGTAATTCTCTGACCTTCAACCTAGCCTTTGGCGACCTTTGAAACGATAAACAAGCCCCCAAAGTGACCCGCCCCTGCTGTTGTCCCGCCTCAGGCAGTGAGTCGGACTGCGCCCTGTTCCGGTGTGAGGTGTACGACCTCGTCACCGACCACTCGTACAACAACGACAGACGCTCGCTGATGCTGGCAGCCGTCCAGGGACACGTCGTCGTCTTCAAGGTCAGTTGGACGTCGAGATGGTGTGGGTAGTTGAAGGTTATGGTCGTTATGGCCGATTGAGGGCATTGCTTTGGTACGAACTCAGCTGAGGATGATAGTTTGGTCTGTGTGGTCAATGGATGTTCCTGGTCTGTGGGGTCAGTTTGGGTCTTCTCGTGGTCTCTAAGGTAAGAAACACATTATGCGGTCATATTTCATTTCATTTCACTTAACCCGCGCGGGGCTGGGGTCTCCAGCCGAACGCGCGGGGCTGGGGGGGGGGGGGGGGGGTAAATTTTACCCCCCCCCCCTGTTATCTCCCGAACTAATGGTCCGATTTGGAAAATTCAAACGCCAATCGAAAGCTCTCATCACGAACAACTAAAAACATGTACTTAATTTAAAGTTTGAGGTCAAGGTCAAGGTCAGGTCAAGGGTACAAATTGCAAGTTTCTACAGTATCGGCCTTGCACCGTAGTTGCCGAAGAATGGAGTCATGGACTGAGACTGATTGCCCAAAACGTGTTCTTAGGCTACCAAGACAATATTCGTTGCATATAATATCATTCAGAGGACAAGGTCAAGGTCAGGTCAGGTCAGGTCACCAAAAAACAAAATATAGAAAAGGGCATGTGCGACGCATGTTTTATGGGTCATTTTACTCATAGAATTCAATAGGCACACTCAATAAGTGATATGGACCACCTCTGGATGAATTTCAGGTCGAGGTCAGGTCAAGGTCAGGTCAAGTGAGGTCAAATTCTGAAGTTGGTTGTTAAGGCCTAAAAAGGTGTCTATCTGATGCAGTTTTTCACGGCGAATCGAATGGTGCTATTTTTGTTTCCGTACGAGGTCTAGAACTTCCAAAAAAGTCATTTTTCCAAATTTTTGTGTGTCGTGACGTCATAAAATTTTGAATAACTCCCACATTTTTGAACCGATTCTTCTGAAAATTGGTATGTAGGTGCATATAGACCACTTCTCTGACATATATTCCGTTTTTTTTCGATACACCCAAAATTTTGGATTTAATAATCATTTTCCCAAAAAAGTCAGTTTTTTGAAAAAAATTTGGGCCAAAATCCAAAATTTTCAAAAAACCGAGATAGCCATTTGATAAACAAAGTAGAATTACGTATAACCTTTTTTTGTTACGTCTTGATTCCTTTAAAAATGAAGATGTTAGCGGCGTTTGAAATTTTGCCGTTTTTGAGGCGAAAATGGCGAACATGACGTCACTAAAACGTCAATTTCTCAAAAAATTTTCCGACGGATTTCGCTCAAATTTTCAGGGAACGTGTCAAATTGATGTAAGAAAAGGTACTGAAAGTTTGGCGGCGCTGCGCGCCGCCGTTTTTGAGATATTGCAAAAATTCGCGAGGGGGGGGGGTAAAATTTACCCCCCCAGCCCCGCGCGGGTTAATTTATTTCATGCCATGAGGCACATATCCATGGTTGAATGAAACGCGACAATGATAATGATACACACACACATAATATCAACGATTGAGGGCTCAGTATGCTCAACGACATACAACAACGACATATGCTCAATCAACTCTGTCTCTTTATTCCTTGCGGTGCAGGCAGTGTGCTACTTACTGTCTCTATTCATCATATTCATCATCATCAATTTATTATGCGTCTTTTTCAGACAATACACATGCACATTTCACTTTCCAATAAACACACCAGTAGTACAGATACTGCATGTAGGACGATGAACACAACACTAAAACGCAATTGCAAAGCACATTAACAAGTCAACACATTTGTGAAAAAAAACCCTATGAGCACAGAAGCCTCACGAGACGACGGGACATCACTGTCTGGCTGGAATTTAAAAGGAATCTGAGCGAATCTACTACACCGTCGCTGTCGATCGCGCTGCCTATGAAGCTATGGTCCACATGACCCCTCACAGCATCAAGCACGTTTTGAAAAGAACAGTTTAACAGTTTGTATGCCAGGTCCAGAAATGTTCCGTGCAATTGTCTAGGCTCGGTAGCTAAAACAGCCAGCTCTCGTAGCATAATGTGTTTCAGTCGGTGTTGGTGGCTTCGGAATATACCCGATAAGGCTAGCAGCACCGCTCGTCTGAGCCGTTCATGTATTCTCGGGATACCTAAAGCTACAAGCAAAGCAGAATGATGAGCGTATTTAGATAATCCGAGGGCAGCTTTTATGCACCGAGATTGCAGGCCATCCAGATCGTCAACATCACACGAGCGAAGGGGGACTGTTTGACATCCGAAAGTTAGGGCAGGGATGACCACAGTTTTCCAAAGAAAGACTTTATCTGAAGGCGACAGGCAGTCACTGAGCATTCCAGCAGGAGTCAGTCCGTAGAATGCTCCACGAGCCCGACTTACACGGTGCTGTACATGAAGTGACCCGGCTAGATCCGCTGACAATGTGACACCTAGATGTTCGGTCACTGCTCGTACAGCAAGCTGCTGACCAGATAGGTGCCAGACGGGGAGCGCAGACAAAAGTTCAGCACCAAATACAATACAGTGACTTTTGGTTTTTATCGGATCTACATGAACGAATTCAAGCCTCCAAAACCCTGCGAATTGATCAACTATTTCCAAAAGTTTACTTAGGTTTCCCGCATTGGTAGAGAGCAGCATCAAATCATCTGCGTAGCACACGGCAGGAACATGGTAGCCAAACATGAAGGATCCGCACAAGCTAACATCAAGTAGACTTAAGAGAGGCTGAAAGAAAACATTTGCAAACGCTGGCGTTTCTTCAGTACTTATTTTCATCCATCCCAATGGCGATCAATGATCTGCTGTTCTTGTAGTTCCCTCTGACCGTGGGGGTCCCGCGACCCATTTCAGTAGCTCTGGAGGGCCTTAAGGCAGCCACGAGGGCCGCCACCACGCCACTGTACCACACGGTCATGCTCAATGAGCCATGATCTCACTCACCCCGCCCTATTATCGACAGGTGGACCACCCGACGCCCCAGGACCTGATGGTTTTGACCTGCGAGGCCTGGTGCATCCTGCAGTGTCAGCGCGTGCCCTGCCGCCAGCCGCCGCCCGATCATCCGTTCTCACTGGCGCCACTCATCGGCTGCTCCGTGTACTCGGATGTCGCCGTCACGGCGGCAGATGGCAGCACGGTGAGATTGGAATACGGGTTGTGTCTTGTGTGAAGGGGCACTTTTTAATCCTTGGCTCTCGCCTGAACGGCAGATGCTGACTTGCTTCGATGGTTTAAGAATTGTTGTTGATTTTATCGTTCTAGCCACCATTGAGCTGGCTGTAATCGAGATGTCTCAGGTGTTTTTATCTTGAAGGACATCATTTTGCACAATATCTTATTGTTCAGCTGAATTTTCGCTTCTGCTTTTATAGAAGGACAGCGATTTGTCGTTTTCGATTGGATGCTGGTAGATTCACAACTTCGTATTGCTTTGTAGGGTTTCCAGAGCGTGTTTTTACACATTTGCAGGCATTGTTGTAACCAACTCATATTTGAGCTCATCAAAGATGTGTCAACTGTCAGATGCGACTTAATTGAATTGCGCGGGTCTTCACTAATCTTATTCAACGGGATGTTTCCACCGGCAGTTTGCTGCGCACAGTCAGATTCTGCGCCTACTAGCGCCATCTATAGACTGGCTTGCCGATCCGCTGCGCCATCTGCCGGCGCCGGCCGTGCGGGCGGTTCTGCACTATCTCTACACGGAGTCTCTACCCGAGGGCCTGGCGCCGACGGTGGCCACGGAGCTACGAAGAGAGCTGCGTCAGCTTCCGGAGCTAGAGCCTCTGGCAGAGCTGTGCGGCCGGTACCTGACCAATGTGACGCTGAGAGATGGTAGGTGGGAGCGGGATTCGGGTTAGAGAAATTAAGTGGCCACGTTACGGCTAAACAAAATTATGAAAATATGCTGCTTCGATAAGTCAAGTCAATGACATACGATTTTAGCTAATATATAACAGCTATCATTGCATGAACACTCGAAATGTTTTCTAGATTTTTACTTTGAGCTTCTTTTCTCTAAATGATTGCAATCGACGGAAAGCTGAGTTTAAGATATTAGTTTACCCCCGTGCATCGTTGGAGTTTTATTATGCCCCTCATCCTTGCTCTCTGCACTGTCACGAGCTCTCCTGCTACATGGACGTTCTGTCAGTTTCACACTGCTACCCATCCGTCCCTATTTCTGCGCCGTCTGGTGACTGAAATGCTGTCCCGCTGCTCGCTCCGTCTGAGTCTTTTGTCACTCTCCGTTCCCGACACCTTCACCTATGTGTGACTGACTGCTGGTGAAGTCCGGCTTTCTCTCCCTCCACAGACCTGCGCCGTCTGGTGGCCGACATGCTCTCGTGCTGCCGCGCGGTGAACGGGGCCCTCTCGGAGGCGGTTGGTCGGCCCCGCCAGGGAGCCGAGTCCGTGCTGGCCTGTCCCAGCCAGCTGTCGGCTCTGGCCAGACTCTGTCTGCAGCAGATGGCGCTGGGTGCGTACGACGGGGTGGATGGGTGTGTGAGGGTATGATGAATGTTGGAAGAGACGGGTATGGTGGTCGTGTACAACCCACAACGTAAGATGAAATGCGATTTGTTTAATCAGGGTCATGACATTTTCAGGGTTGGTTTAAGATTGATTAACGGGAGCATGGGTGTGGACTTCCGCTGAGCTGGGGTGCCCGGGCGCAGCAAAACTACCGCGGTGACCCTGACCCGCGCTGTCTGTTGCGGCTGCAAACCCAAGCCGGCCGAGCCGGCGGGAAATTTAGAGAGCTTGGGCACCCCCATCCCGGCGGAAATCCACAACCATGAACGGGAGGGTGCTGAAGGTTTTGTCGCAACCCGCGACGGAAATTTAGGGAAACAATGTACAGTGGAGGCGGATATAAAGGTTTTATCATACAGAACTATACAGTATAGATAAATATATGATTTTGGGAAATATTGCACAATTACCTTGGGGTGGGTTCATATGCTTCCTGCTGCAAATTTCTGACAACTTTAAGTTTTATTTTGATAATTATAACTTCCCATGCTTATTATCTCTTGTCGCTCGTCTAAGTTCATTAGCTTGTCATTCTCGTTACCACGAGATGGCTCTATATTCCACAGGTCTCAGCAAACTGGCGCTGACGTTTGATTTGTACGGCCACCACGAGATGCCTCTGGGTTCGGAGGAGCGTCGTGAGATAATTCGATACGCCCAGTCTCGGCTGCCCCAGTTTCTCACCGAGCTGCAACGGTGAGCGCTTCTCACAACTCACACCGCATTTTTAATGCCGGTATAGCACACGCATACGTATTTATCGAAATGTAGTATGTTTGGTCAAAGCGTTTGTGACATGCTGCTGCGATATTTGTAGCTATTTTTTATTTGTGCGTCTGATTAGGCAAGCATCCTGGCAATGTCAGCAATAACATTGATGGAATCATTAATTATCCTTCATTCTACCTACTTCGTAACATATAACGCAAATCATAAGTAGCTATCCACAGTCAACATGTCATCCTACTGGATGCGGGCAACTATTTTGAGTCTTTGACTTCCTGATATTCATAGATATCTTCTCCCGTCTGTTCCCTTTTCAGAATGTTACACGGTCTGCGAACGTTACTCTCCTCAGCCAGTCAGACCCAGCGCTCCGACCTCGCCGCCCGGTCCGTCTCAGAGGTAAGAGGGACCAGTGGTCCCTTGGACTGTTGGGAGAGGGACCAGAGGGCAGGACCAGAGGTGCAACCATTGGTCTGGGGTTGGGGTGGTTGATCAGGCGCAGCGCTCCAACTTAGTGGCTCGCTCCCTGTATGAGCTAAGGAACATTGGTCAGGAGAGCCGCTCCCTGGATGAGCTAAGGAGCATTTATTAGGAGGGGGTGGAGTTGAGTATCAATGGTCCGTGTCGAGGTGGGATGGACCATTAATCCTTGAACCACACTGCCGAGGGCTATTTGGTCAGGGTAGGAGACGCTACTGAGTTGAGGACAATGGTATATTAATCCTCGAAGGATGGGAGCGTCGGTACTGCATTCATTCATTCATTCATTCATTCATTCATTCATTCGACATTCATTCTTTCATATATATTTGAAGCTACATCGCCCTACAATCGATTTACAGCGCATTGTCAAATCATGGACCAGGCACTGACGATATGTACCTCCGTCCTCCACCCCCCCTCCCCCCCCCCCAGCTGGAGTGGCTTGCGGTGACCATATCAACCCTACTGGAGGAGAGTAAAACATTCCTGGAAGCGGCTCTGGGCGCGATGACGGCACCCGATGGACCGACTGCCGCTCGACGGGATGGCTCACTCACCTATGTAAGGAAATTAAGGAGATGGGAACGGAGGGGGTAGCGGGGAAGTGAAGGTGGTAGAAAAGTTATCGGGTAAGGGGTGTGGAGACGGGTCATGGACGGGTCTTCTACTTTGTTTGACGAAGGTTGTTAAAATATGGTTATTCTGGATATTTTATTAGGATACTGGAGTCAGAAATACTTTGTTCAGTTTTGTATCGGTTGTTGAGGGTAAGTGAAGTCGATTCGATACGGCGATTGCTGTTGTAGTTTTGTTCCGCTTGGCTTTGTGCAGTGCTTCGTAAGCTTGTTTTGCACTTACGGGTGTTAATTTTTAAATAGTGCGGGCCTGCCATCGTATTTTCTGCCTGCAACGCTACGTCAGGTTTATCACATGAAATTTGCTTTATTTCACAGGTGCTTCGGAGTCGAACTATGCTGTGTCTGCAGACTCTTCTGGAAAGACTGACTCGGGCCAACATCTACATACTGCAGAAACGGTAACAGATCAATATTTTACGTAAAATGTACGGATTTTCGCAGACATAAAGCTGCATGGGCGAGGAGAGACAACAGCTCTTCCGTTTTTACGTTTAAGATTATGTCCTCCGCCGCAGTTAAATCTTTTATATGATTATTCGACTTTTGAAAATGTATCACAGCACTATGGGGTTTCTTTTGTTGATGTTTGGGGCTTACCTATCGACCCGAATAGTGAATATAAGAACAACAAGCACATTAAAAGCTGTTGTTTGTAATCATCCTCCTTCTAAAACAAAATCTGCCACCGCTAAGACTCGAACCCGCTCCGCCGGCAGTGAGTACCTCTCCGCCGTGGGCGAGGCGGGTGGCGCGCGGCTGGTGGCCCGCAGTACGGAGCGGCTTCTGGACGAGCTCCCCGCACTGATGGCGTGTGCCGCTCTGGACGAGGCGGCAGAACTGGCCGGACAACATGTCACCTGGCGAGAGTTCAAGTTCTACTTCATCGCTACTGCCAGCCGCGTGGTACGTGAGGGGGATTTGGGAGGAGGGTGGGATTGTATGAGGAGTTGGGAAAGGCAGGCAAGTGTTAAGGGGAGGGCAAAAGTCGACATAATCCTAAGACAGTGCAAAGAACCAGGAAGAGGAGACTAGGGAGGCTGAATGGTGCCCTTGTAAGCACTAGAGTGATCAGGCGTGTCGTTTACCTTATTTTTGTTCTTTGTGTGATCGCGAAAATCTTTGCGTGAGTGCAATCATGTATGGTCCAGGACTTAGTCGATGCATTAGCGTCCATGAGCGATACACTTGACGCGACGGACGTTGACACCTCTGGTATTTCAAATCTTAGATCCATATTATAGAAATAACTTTTTAAAGATGGTAGGATATCAAAACAATCGTGGTTCGCCGTGCGTCTTGTATTTTCTCTTTTTACCGAAACCTTTATTGTACCGCTGTTTCTTGTGCTCTAGGTACCGTCACATAATGAAGCTGTCTAACCCTGCCAACCGTCCGTTCCAGCACCACATAATGGAGCTGCTGCGGCAGCACTCGGAAGTGGTCCGACCCCTGGTCGACCACATCCGGCTCCTGGTGGGAGGAGAGCAACTGGACGCCACCCTCGCCCGACTCGGACTGCTGGAAGACACGCTGGGAGCCAATCAGGAGCCGGGAGACAGCGCGGCGGCCAATCACAGCGCCGGAGACAGCGGAGTAGCCAATCGCAGCGCTGGAGACAGCGCGGCGACCAATCGGGAGACAGGCGGCGGCGAGACGACCAATCAGAGCGTGGGAAGTGGTGGGAGGACCAATCAGATGTCTGGAAATGGAGGAATAGGAAGACTGGGGGCGGAAGATCCGTGGAAGAGCAATCGCTCCTCATCTCCAGCCTCGAATGAATCAGATTCGGTAAGCAATTGCAGCAAATGAATAGCCAAAATCCTTCTTAGGGACATGAGCTATTGCTGATTCTTACTTCAGTCTTCCCTTTAATTTTTTTCCTTGTAATGTTCCTCAACTGTTTTGGACAGAACCCTGTTGGCGAGCTGGAGTTGACTTCTAAAGCAAATAAGCCAAGTGATGAAGGAACAATCATAGTCTCTAGGGAGAAGGGACCAGGGGAAAGAGAAAGGGATGGGAATGGATCCCATAGGTGAGATCGCCCATGTCCAGATTGACAGACTGAACATACAAACACTGCTTGTCATGCTTCACCACTGATGTTGCTCTCTTCTTTCGGCAGTTGTCCCTGGTGTCTGCGCTGACGCGGCCTCCCCTCAGTCGCGACAGTGGACTCGCCCGCCGCTGTCACCAGCTGTTTGAGTCGGGACGAGACACCGATCTGCAGTTCACAGTCCGCGGGGACCCCGGTCAGTCCATTGGAATTGTTGAGGAGAGGTCACTCAGGGTTCAAGGGGAAGCCACCTGCATTGTTGAGGGGAGGGGGCTCTTGCCGTTGATGGGTGATCGTTTGGATTCTGGCATGGAGCGATACTGGGAAGATGAACTGCTGAAAAAAATTGTCTTGCTTATGATGACTATAAGGGGATATTTTTAGGTCAGTTTTGGATTATTGTGGTATGCATAATGTTTGGATTTTTAGGCCCTTTCTGTGCAATGAGACCATTTCAGAGCCGGAGGGATGATAGGATAGTCCGGAGGGGGGGGGGGGGTGCGGCGTGGAGGAGAAGGATGTCAGAATCCTGGGGATAGAAGCGACGGAACGGAGGGACCCCTTTGCACGTGAGGCTAAGCATGTCCCTGACTGGATTCTCACTTTGTATGAGCGTGATCGTCCAGCCACAACAGGGATTTGAGGCGTGAAAGAGGATCTTACTGTCCTGGCTCCTGAGGATGAAAAAAATGTAACGGTTGACCGATAGTTCGGATAGCTTCCTCCTTTCATTTACAACTTTTCCCGTTCTGTCCGGCAGTGGTGCCGTCGCTGCTGGGCGGCCACGGTGCTGCCATCTCTGGGCAGCAGGAGACAGTTCTGTTGGCACACGGCCCGGTGGTGGCAGCACGGTCGTCCTGGCTGCGAAGGGTCCTCACTTCGGGGATGAAGGAGAGCATCGACAGGTAAGTCACGTTTGAGGCACTGTTTTGGTTCTGGGTGGACGATGTTTTGATTATTGTTTAGCGGAACTGAAGGCTCAGCTGATTGCTCAGCTGTTTGCTGCATTTTACTTTGGGATGATGTCCTGTAGATCGCTGAGCATATCTGCGGGACCTGCTATTTTATTTCTACCGATGCTCAGTCTTGAAAGAGGTTGCAGTAACCCAAGCAGCAACCCGTAAACTTCACATGATTCACATGTAATATGCCAGCGCTGCACCCAGGTTTTAGTCTCTGATTTTTTACCGTAATGCAACTTTGTGCGTTGCTTAAACTTAAAGGCATCCAGGAGTGAGGTTGCCTAGACCGGATCTCATGAAAGGACATGAGATCCGGCACCTGTGTGCTAAGATAAAGACATTCTTGTTTCTCTTTTTTCCAAATGGGTCGGCCAGACATTTTTTCAAAACATCCGCTACTGTCCTCGGATAATATCTTACCGGTTTCGATAGTGCCTTTTCAGCACCTGTGTTTTCAAAGGCACATCCAGTTTGCTCCAGTTTTTTTTTTTAATATTTCTGTTCATGTGATGATATACCTAACACATTACACAATGCCCTCACAAACAATTCTCCACTCTATAAAACACAGCCCACGTCATGTCATCTACGACATACCATACGACATCTACGACTTGCATCACTTGCCAAATTTCATAATTTCTATGATTATCTCTGACTGTACTGGTTCGGAGCTCAGTGTCGTCCAAAACAACAGCCTTGTCGTGTTTTCATCGCTGGCTCTGAATTTGTGTGCTAGCTTGTCATGTATTGTTGTGGCCTATGGGCTCACTCTAATCCACGAAACTAACCGTGAACAAAAAGCTATTGCTGCCGCAACGGTTGTCAAGCTACGTTTCACGATCAAACCGATGCATGTTTCTCTTGATATTTTTTTTTTTGAAGCTCTAAATAATGGAGTAAGGATCGGATAAAGGTTGAAGTGTGTGTGATGTTTATATGTGATGTGCAGTGTAGGTTATTTCTTGTTGACCCGATTTCAGCTGTATTATCTGTTGTCACCTTTGCTATTATTTACCGAGAACACATGGACAGATAAATGCGTTTTACAAACTAATTTTCGTACTCTAACGTACTCTACTTCGTACAATCGTACTCTAACAGCCATGACTAAGCAATAAATGCGAAACGTTGGGTAATTTCTTGCGTTTTAATCCCTTTTAAAATGAATTCAAAAGTTTAGGCCATGCATACACTTACATGTCACAACTCACATCTGTCATTTGGTAATCCTCAAACAGTTTGAATTGCGTTCATATGAAGTCGGTTTCTCTTACGTATTAACTATGCTCGTATTATCTCGGTAATTGAGGAAATTATGCCGTCATTTTTATTTTGTTATGCTTATTACCTATAGTATCCACTATCCATTCGAGGTCAAACGCCGTTGTCATTGCCATCATGTCACGACAACATACGCCACTAATCGCGATTTTTGCATTGTGTGTTCATTAAAATACAGTACCATATGGCCATTGACGTAGCATCATTCATTGTTTGTGAACCACAACGTAGATATCAGCATCGCACAAGCGGGACATTTTTTCATTAGCGGTGAACACGGTCTCGTGCACGTAACAAATTCCGCAGAAAGATAAAACGAAAAAAATGGTCCGAGCAGTGAGCTCGACAATGACAGTAGTTACACGTTTTCTATTGCAGTCACTACATATTAACCGCAAGTTCTTTGTCAATGGCATATGTTCGACGCACTGATCGTTGCCTGACCGGTACGGAAGTTTTATCGTTGAACTTATGACGCCGTAATGCTACTGATGCTTATATCCCAAGTATTTATTTAGTGTTGTTCGATTATGTTACTGTTTTTGTTTTTGAACAAACGTCAGCGTTCAGCGTTCGCACATGACTGGCTCCCCTACCCGCTCAATCTTGTTCAATGCATCGTTTCTACGAGTAGCTAGCTACCTGCGTATGTCCTTCCTGTCTCCGACCTTCAACATTAGCTCGCCCCAGTGCCGGCTCGCTAGGGAAGCGATGGGTGCCCCGCCCCGGGCTATGGTCTGCATCATCCCGCTCGGAAAACCCGCCCGTGTTTGCGCTGCGTAGTTGTTCTAGGACATAGGACCTGTTTCAGATTCGTATCTGATGTGATCTGTGGGTTTTCGACGAAGGTAATCCGCGCATTTTACGTACCGCATTTTACGTACCGCATTTTACGTACCGCATTTTACGTACCGCATTTTACGCATGTACCGGTGAATCCAAAGAGGGAGGCATTCGCTATTAAAAACAATGATGCGGCATAAATGAAATGAATAAATCTGCCAATTTCCCTCCCCGCTTCGCCTTTAACGCTGCATATTGTATAATGTTTCCTTTATGTTGCAAATATGACTGATGTGTTATTAACAAACAATGGAATGAACAACGCAACCGATGGCTATTGTCTTCATGCTGTTTTATTTGCACTTTTTCATGTGGGGAGTACAAGGCCAGATAGCCTGTGTGAGACGCTTGCTTGTATATGCGGTCCATTATTTGATGAAAAATCGCATTCTTGGCTGCACGAAGCGTAGTGGACCTTGGTGTTTACTTGTATGTACATTTGGCATTAGATATTGATTAGCTTTAGCCTAAGGGCGGCTAACAATTGTTAGGTATCTTTTCGACTTCATGCGTTAAATCTGTTATTGTATACGATTTCTTTGGTTTTGTGACCGCGCTGAAAGTGCTGCGTATGTCAAAGTGTGAGTGTGCCTGCGTCACATAATAGCAGCGTGACAGCCAGTATTTCATGTGCTGACAAACCCTTTCCTTTGTTCGTGACCTTTGGTGTGTCCTGCACGTCACATTCCCTCTCCACGGCCGGGGTAAACCTGTCCACCCTGCCCTCTACTTCCTGCCTCCCTCCCCCGTGCCTTCCTCTACCAGTCATTAGCTGACCAGCACCGCCATACCGCAGCGAACCGAACCGTTGCCGCGCAGGCTGCCGGGCGTCAGTTTCATTACCCGGCCGGGAGTGCTGGAGGGAAGACCATACCGTGCTTCCTCTCTGTCGGCACGTTACTATATACCGCCGTCGTGCCGTGGGGCCTTTGTGCGACATCAGCTCTGCACTGCTTCGCTAGATATCCACGCTGAAGCTGGAAGACTCACTTGCCATGGAGACACATACTGCGCCGCTTCGGGGCGTCATACTCACGCTATTGCTTCTTCCGCTGTTCGCGCAAGCCAACGAATCTTCCTGTGGGTTCGGAGGCGTATACGACCCCAGCCAGCAATGCTGTACCGTTGAGGGATGCCGAAGCCCTTGTCCGTCTGGGCAGGAGTGTAAGCTCCAACCTCCGACTCCATGCGCACCCCCGCCGGAGCCGCCGATTCCCTGCCACTGTCCGGGACGTATGGCGTGCGAACCTGTCGAACCGCCGCCGGACTGTGGTCAAGAAGGGGTGTTCGACCCGAACCAGGGATGCTGTACCACCATCGGATGCATAAACGGCTGTCCAGAGGGCTACGCGTGCAATCTGCAACCGCTGACCCCGTGCGCTCCGCCCCCGGATTTCTACATTCCGTGCTACTGCCCTCAGCGCTATGCCTGTGAGCCGCTTGATGATTCTAAGTAGTATGGTGTCGGTAGTGTCTTTGACGAGAGCCAGGGGTGCTGTACCACCATCGGCTGTAAAGCACGTCAGTCGATGTACGTCAGCACGTTAGCAGGGGAGAGTGGGGTAAGACGCCGGGTTGGGGTAAGACGCCCTTCGATCTAACAAGAAAACTGTTAATATCAGTATCTTACTATTTGAACAGGATCCGTCTGTTTGTTTGTCTGTTTGTCCGCCACGATGTGTAGTGGGTTCAATTTGACTCGCCTACAGGGCAGACAGTATGTCATAGGGGGTTGAAATTTGCACACCGTCGAGATGACGTCACGGGTCAGTGCCCTTTCTAGGTTTATATATGCTGTTTTTAAGTTCTTGCAACGTTTATTTCTGCGTTTCGTTTGTAGGGGCAAGACATTCGGTTTCGAAGTGGCGTCGTTTGGTGGTGGTGAGCATTTTTATGTTTTGTCATGTTATGCTATAAATTTTTGTCTCTCAGTTTTCCGTCTAATAAATGGGGAAGGACCTTAAATTTTCTCATGTATAGCTTTTTTCAGTCAGTCACGTTTTATCAACATTCGATCACATACACGCGCACGTGAACGCACACATGGACGCACATACACCCATACGACAGGAGGCGGTCGGGGTCGTTCCACCGCCGGTGCCGCACAGAGCCTGTGCTCCCTGGCGCGGCGGTCACAGCGCCCCGCCGACTCCCTTCGCGCTGACCACGGCTGCACGGGTCTTAGTGGAGGTAGAAGAATTTATAGCCGTTTCTCAGACAGACAGGCAGACAGATAGGCAGACAGACGTTTATGCGGAACCTCCATACAATGGGTTTCGTGGCTTCCACGTCATATACAATGCGAAATAAAAATATAGAATATCTAGTTCAAACCACATAGCAAAAGTACAAGCACACCTAAACACCATTCCATTCCTTGCTAGCACGAAAAAGGAAACCACGGCGGGTGAGTTCGGTTCTTACACGAGGCAGACTCAATAGTCCATTCTCGGTCGCACGAGTACGGCTCTCGCGAGTACGGCTCTCCCGCGACCGCCCCGGGGGGGGGGGGGGGGTCGGATCCGACCTCCCCCTCAGTTTTTTTTCTTGAATAGCTCATGAACCGCTTACGCTATCAACTTGAAACTTGGCATACCTTCTTCCCCATCAATTTGACGTCTCCTGTGTAATTTTTAAGAAAAATTTCCCAAAACTGTTTGAGCTATATCGATCCTGCCTCACGGCGAATTGCAACTGTTAGGTGTCTTTTCAATTTCGTGGTTTATTTCTGTTATTGGCTATTGCATCCGATTTCTGTGTGGTTTTGTGACGGCGCTGAAAGTGTGACAGCGCTGCTTATGTGACAGTGCTGCTTA